CTCGCCCCGCCCTCCCTCTGGCGTCACCGAGACCGGCGCCGATTGGCCGACGGCGCCGTCGCTCCGGACACTTCCTCCTGGGCCGCGGCAGCGGAGTTAAACTTTGGCGAAGGAAAAAGAGCCACCGGCTCCCGGCGACCCTCCCTGGCCCCACCTCCACCGCAGCCGGTAACGCCCCCTTCTCCGCGGGCCCCCGACCGGCCTTTTTTCCAGCTTCCGAGATCCGAGGAATTCCCTCCTGAGCACCGGGCCCTCGGGATCCTTCTGCCCATCCCCGGGCCCGTCGGATCCCTGGGATCCACTCGATCCCCGGCTCAGAGACTCCCGCCCTCCGCCCCCAAGGTTTGGCGAACCCCTCGGCGCCCCCTTAATTGGATCCTCCTCTTAGAGCCATTGGGTTCTGGGGTCCCCCTGCTCCTTTTCAATCCTTTTTCTTTCCAAGGGGCTTTTGGATCCTGGGCTCTGCTGATCTCTGCGACCCCGACCTTCTAGATTTTCTTCTCTGATTTCTTGGAAACCCTCAATCGCCGGAACACCCCCCTCCCCTGCCTCCCAAGCCATTTCTTTTATCTGATCGTCTGTGATCCCTTGATTCCCGGGCGTCTAATCCACTAGATTTCTTTTCTCTGATTCCCCAGGATCCCGCCATCGTCGAGTCCCCTCAACCTGCCAGATTCCTCTCCTCGGCCCCCGGGATCCGCGCTCCCACTCCCCGCGCACGAGTTCTCCCTGGGAGACAGCGTGTTCCCCGGCTCCTCCAGCCGGATCCCAGGCGCTCTCCCTCATCGATGTTTCTCTGTTCTCTCTGCCTTCCTCCCTCTCTAAAAATCAATGAAAACATATCCTCAGGTGAAGATTAGAGAGCTTGGACCTGCAGTCGCCGCCACCCCTGCTGTCCCAGGTTTCGGTCCCGGTCCCGGCCCCGGGCCCCGGGGTCTCCTTCCACATCCAGATCGGGCTGACCCGCGAGTTCGTGCTGCTGCCCGCCGCCTCGGAGTTGGCCCATGTGAAGCAGCTGGCTTGCTCCATCGTCGACCAGAAGGTGAGGGCGCAGGGTCCCCCAGCCCAGCTTGGGGAGCGGTCTGGAGGAGAGGTGCGCTGACCGAGGCGACCTGCAGCCTGGCACGGGGGAGGGGGAGGAAGGGACTCTAAGCCTTGGGAGAATGACGGATGTGGGTAGGGCATTGGCCCCAGTTGCCTCTTTACCCCACTACCCGTTTGAGGGAGGCCCGGGCAGGGGTGGGGTGCCCCAGAGGCCTCCCCAGATTGCGAGTCCTTGCACGTTGTTTTCTGCAGCCGGCAGGGAGGAAGGGAGGGGCCCACCAGGTGTAGAAGGAGGGAGGAGGAGGGGGCAGGTGGGGGCATCCGATGGGGGTGAGGGAACACCTCCCTGCCCAGGCCCATCCCTGACCTCCCATTTGGTGGAAAATAGAAATTGAAGCCAGGCTGGCCAAGGCGATCGGATGACATGTGTGGGTGTGGGTGCTTGCACTAGCTGCCAGGGGCAAGTGAGGTCTCAGCCTAATCTCTGCCCGCCCCCAGGCCTGAGGTGTGTGTGGAGGGATAGGCACCTCTTCCCAAAGTTCAGAGGCTCTGGGGACCCCCCCCCATACACACACACACACACACACACACACACTCTGATGCTGGCCTATTAAAACCCTTCTTCCCCAACCCCGCCCCACTCTTAGCTTTGGACACCAGGGTCACCAGGCTGGGGGGCTGGGGGTCATGGCAAAAGGGAATCAGGTGGAACTCTGTGCCTGAATCCTAGAACATGAAAAGTCAGAATAGTGAACTCCTCTGTTGTTCGAATTCTAGACTGTCAGAATGTTAGACTATTATAGACTTCTAAAGGGGAATATGCAAGTGTAGGTCATTGGATTCCTCTGATATAAAGCATTCAAACATTAGAATCCTAGCTGGTGGAAATACTAAAACATGAAAATGTTGGAATATTAGATTCCTGGGTTGTTGGAATCCTTCAGTGCTAAGATATTCAACTATTCGAATCCTAGTTTGTCAGAGTCCCAGAACATTAAAATACTAGCCTACTGGTAATCTAGGCTCTTGAAAATCCTAAACGTGATAATGAGAATAGGTTGAACTCTAGAATGTCTGATCTTCGTATAAGGTAGGCAAGTTAGAATCCTCAAATCTCCAAACGTTAGAATCTTCTGACTCCTGGAAATGAATTCTTTGGGCTTCAGAGAAACATCTGGAACTGGGCCAACTCCCCCATTTTACAGACAAGAGCTTAGAGAAAGACTTCCCAGGCAGTCAGCCCCAGGCGGCCGGCTCACCTTGGACCCCCTCCCAGTGGGCAAGAACAGATAGGGCTTC